CCCTCCCGTGGGGCGCGGGGAGAGAGCTTTGCGGGCGGCCCGGGCTGCCTGGCGGCTGCCCTCGCGCTCGTCCCCCGCAGCCCCTCTTCTGGGGCTCCCCGCGTGGGGTGCCCCTCCGGCTCCGGCAGGCAGCGGGGCGGCAGGGGAGTGGAGACCTCACCCCGGGCGAGGAGCGCCTCGGGGCCGCGCTGCCCTCCCCCGCCCCGGGGGGCTGCGGGCTGCCCGGCTGGGGCTCTGCCGGCTGCGTGCACGCTCTGGGCTTGAGCTGTGGGTGTTGCACCAGAGGCAACGTTCGCAGGCCGCCTGTGATGCTGCGAGGGGTTAGCTTTCAAGTACCTCCAGACGGCGGCTGTCCCTGTGGCAAAGACTTTCTGCTCCTTCCCTGTCCGAAGCTGACCCTATCCAGCAGCTCCCTCGGTACATCCCAATACTGCCCTGCACAGTGGGGCTGGTGCAGCGCACACAAAAAGGAAAGCGTGGGCTCCCATTGAGGACGGGGTATAGCCCTGAGTGGGGGCCTGCGCGATCCCACGGGGACTTGCCCTGACTCTCTCTGTCTCACCCAGCATCCACCAGCTGAGGACCAAGGTGTCAGAGGAGCATGACGTCATCAAGAAGAAGGAGCTGGAGACTGGCCCCAAGGCCTCCTATGGCTATGGGGGCAAATTTGGAACAGAGCGGGACCGAATGGATAAGGTAACAGTTGTAGAGGGCTTCCTTGGGCCTCAGTGGAAAAGGCTTTTTCTCATAAAGGAAGGAACATCCCTGTTTCCTGGCCTGACCCTAGAGGGAGAGAATGGAGAGCTGGCAGGGCTGCACAGATTCACACATACCTAGCCAGCCCATAATCTGTCTCCAGGATCTGTTTGAACCCATTTGTATAACTTGCCTCTGCAACTTCCTTGCAACACTCCCCTTTGCTTTGAAGAAGGACTTCCTGTGGCTTATTTCAAACCTGCTGCATAAGAATTAAATTAGGTGCCTCCCTGCTTGTGCTTGGAGAACTAATGAATAATGATTCCCTCCTCACATTCTCCATTACAGACCTCTGTCACATCTCCCCAGGATGAAGCCCTAGTTCATATTCTCTGTTCTCACATCAAACCTGGTTTATGTTTTCTGATAATCATCATCACGCTTCTTCCTGTACCTTTCAGCATTTGATACTTCTTTTTTTTCAGAAGTGAGATGGTAAGATTGCAGTAGTATTCAATATATGGGGTCACTGTGGGTGTGCCTGATACCGGGATGGCAGGGGGAGAAACAGACATTTCCAGTAGGCCAAAATGGAGCAGCCACGCTCAGACCCTTCTGCCGGAGCAGAGTGAGGATGTTTTTGTTGAGCAACTCTTCGGCCTTCATCCAGTCTTACCAGGATGTTGCAAGCATTCAGCCTCTGGCCCTTCTCCTGAGGAGTGTGTGCAATACCTGGCCACACCGCCCCCAGCAGGGAGCAGCGGGACCCTGGCCTGGCCTGTAGTAGGCATAAAGGGTGATCCCAGCCAGGTCTGCTGACCCTCACTCTCAGACACAGAAAATAGGGAGCAGGTGCCAGACCTGCTGCCTGTGGGTTTTCAGTTGTGCATGCCTATCTGTCCTTTTCTCCTCAGTTTCCTTGTGTGAGTATCTACCACTCCACTGGCATTCAGGAGCAGCAGGTATTCAGCATCCCACAATTTGCATGATGAGCTGGCAATGGGGCCGGTTATGTCAGGTAGCTGCCCTTGAAGCTGCATCACAGGTCTCAGAGCAGAGCCGGTACTGGCAAAGGCTCTGCGGAAGGCATCACCACCACCACCACAGTCAGTTTGGACCTGTCACCTCACGGCCGCAAGCATCTCAGCCGTGGGGCAGAGCAGCTGTGTGGTGCCTATGTCGCTGTCCACCCTGCCAGTCTGACCGCGGGTGCTCATGTCATGCTATCTCTCTTTTCAGTGCGCAGTGGGCCACGAGTACATTGCTGATGTTGGGAAGCACTCCTCGCAGACGGATGCAGCCCAGGGCTTTGGGGGGAAGTACGGAGTCCAGCGGGACCGAGCTGACAAGGTGTGTTGGACAGGGCAGCTGAAATACGTGCTTGCGGCCTGTGCTCAGTGCTGCCTGTAAAATACTGTGCTATCTTAGGATTGTGGCTGCAGTTTTCAAAGTGCTGGTGGGTGCAGGTCTAGGTATGCCATGCACCACGGTCTCCACTGAAGCATGCAGCTCACCTCCTGTGTGCAGGACGATGACTGATGACAAATTGCAGGGCACTTGTGAAGGTTAACTCTCTGCATGCTTGCACTGTTCTGTGTTTGTTTTGGGGGCTGTGGTGTTTTACATCTCCAAACCCCCAAGCTGTGCCATGCACAGTGACTGGCCCTGGCAGGACTGGATGGGGACAGCAGGATGCCGTCCCTCCCATGCACATCCTGGTGTGAGATGCTGCCCAGCTGCCTTGCATCATGACAGGGTGTGGGCTCAGGATTGTGGCCCTCTTACCTGGAGTGCATGGGCTTTTTTGAGGGCCCATTCCTGGGCACACTGCCACATGGACAGCAGGGGTGGTGTGAGAGGCTGAGGAGGCCTCTACCAGCTGAGGAGGGGCCAGGCACCTGCATGTTGCAGCACAAGGCAGGGAGCAGGGTCCCAGCCCAGACCCTGGGGGAGGGAGGGTGGGTGAGACCTGGCTTGGCCCTCAGGACAACTGACATTCCTCCCCTTCTTTTTCCAGTCAGCACTGGGCTTTGAATACAAGGGTGAGGTGGAGAAACACTCGTCCCAGAAAGGCAAGTCCATGTGTACGCATGGCCCCTTGACACTTTGCCCAGCTTCTCTTCTGCTCCCAATATCCTGTGCTGTCTGCTGTGGCACAGCCTCCTTTATTATCCCCCTCCTGTCACTTGTTTCAGATTCCTGTTCCCAGTCAGTCACCCTTGCGGCCCCGTTCTCTGCTGTCCTATCACCACCCTTCTGTTGTGCATTCCTCTTGTCTCTGTGTTTTGCTTTGACGGAAACCATGTCATGGCTGAACAGAGAAGACACCCCCCCCACACACACCCCCATGTATATCCTCTAAAAGTCCTTCTGAGCAACTGCTCCAGAGGGAACCCAAGCACTGTAGGACGTAAGAAGTGATTTCTGAAAAAGCAGCATAGAACAGAAGGTACAACAATGGATATGGAAACAAAAGCCTATACAGCACCCAAACTTTTGCAGAATTCTGGAGATGATTCAACCAAACTTTGACACGTACATACAAGCAGCAATATTCATTAAGAACATTGCAAGAACTGAAACTAAAGATATTTTAAATATTTTGCAGCCAAGAGAAGATGAGAGGGCAAGGTCTGTTACTGTTTCAGATAAATGTGAGGAATACTGCATTACCAAGAAAAGAACTGAATTGTGTTCATTTCAGAGGAAACTATAAAAGAAGGAAGATGTTTTGAGGCATTCGTGGTTGGCCTTAAATTAATGAATCACATGCAGTTGTGCTACATTAACATATTCCTGTATAAAAGATTATATACTAGATCATAGCCATAGAAATTCATCAGGCTGTGTAAAACCACAGAAATCTCTCAGGACAAAATGAAAACATTAGAAATAGGGTAAGGTGTTTGGATTGTTTTTCATAAAAATGTGTCCCTAGTGGAGTCTCCGGCATCAAGGTAACAGTCATAAAATCTATAATTGCTGAAAACAGCATCCTAAAAGTTCCATTTCATAATGGCCTAATGGGTAAATAATAGTTTAATCAAGATAAGTTTAAGAAATTTCTAGGACTTACAGACTCATTCTTAAGTGACTGAGCTTCTATGAAACAGAGAGCCATTCTTCAATACAAAATGTTTTCATATATATTTCTCTAGATCACAATCTTCATGGATTGATAAGGCTGAAGTTGCTGGAGAAGCCCCACCTCATTCCTGTGAAATGCAGACCTGTAAGAATAGGGTCAGGGAACGAAGAGAGGTAACTGTGATTTACTCCTTCTGAAGGGTAGGATTTGGAGCTGGCAGAGCTGGCAGACCAGGTCCTTGAAAGGAAAGTGTCTCTCTATGGCCAGCGGCTAGGATAGAGGCTGAAATTTCTTAGGACATCAGCCAATAATAGCAAGGTAGTCCTTAGAGAACAACTGAACACAGTTGAAGTGGTTAATACATTACTAGTTTAGAAGATGGAAAAAAGGGAGGCATAAGGAAGATGTGCTGTGCCTCTATCACATTAATGATCGAGTGTGCCAGACACAAGCTGGGGGGAGAGCTGGGGCAGGTCTCTAAAAATGTGGGTTTCAGCCTTTGCAGCACCAGGAGTCAGCGGCTTCCTTGTAGAAGTTGAGATTCTGTTACAGCAAATGTAAGCTGTACAACAAAAGTTTGCCATTTCTTCTGTACTTTCAAGCGCTCAATATACTTAGAGACCTTTTCAGAGACTGGTAGACCACAGGTTGAAAGCCTTGCTCTGGAGATGCGTGAGTGGGTGGATGCCCAGGCTGTTGGTGCCCAAGTCTTGCCTTGGCTTTGCATCCTTGGGTGGCTGAGCTCACACTGCCTGCCCAGCTGCCCTTGGCATGTCACTTTTCTTCCTTGCTGTCATGGTTTAACCCCAGCCAGCAACTAAGCACCACGCAGCTGCTCTATCACTTCCCCTCTCAGCTAGACAGGGGAGAGAAAATATAACAAAAGGATCGTGGGTCAAGATAAGGACAGGGAGAGATCACTCAGCAATTACCGTCATGGGCAAAACAGGCTCAACTTGAGGAAAATTAATTTATTGCCAATCAAACCGGAGCAGGGTAATGAGAAATAAAACCAAATCTTAAAACATCTTCCCCCCACCCCTCCCTTCTTCCCACACACAGCTTCACTCCTGAATTCTCTACCTTTTGCACCCAGCAGTGCAGGGGGACAGGGAACAGGGGTTGTGGTCAGTTCATCACATGTTGTCTCTGCTGATCCTTCCTCTTCAGGGGGCAGGACTCCTCACACTCTTCCCCTGCTCCACCGTGGGGTCCCTCCCACAGGAGACAGTCCTCCATTAACTTCTCCAACGTGAGTCCTTCCCACGGGCTGCAGTTCTTCATGAACTGCTCCAGCATGGGTCCCTTCCACAGGCTGCAGTCCTTCAGGCACAGACTGCTCCAGCATGGGTCCCCCACAGAGTCACAAGTCCTGCCAGCAAACCTGCTCCATGGACTCCTTTCTTCACAGATCTGCAGGTCCTGCCAGGAGCCTGCTCCAGCGTGGGCTTCCCATGGGGTCACAGCCTCCTTCGGGCATCCACCTGCTCTGGTGTGGGGTCCTCCACGGGCTGCAGGTGGATATCTGCTCCACCGTGGACCTCCATGGGCTGCAGGGGGACAGCCTGCCTCACCATGGTCTTCACCAGGGGCTGCAGGGGAATCCCTGCTCCGGTGCCTGGAGCACCTCCTCGCCCTCCTTCTTTGCTGACCTTGGGGTCTGCAGGGTTGTTTCTCTCACATGTTCTCACTTCTCTCTGCAGCTGCAGTTTCTGTGCCCCGGCAACATTTTTTTTCCCTTCTTCAATACATTATCCCAGAGGCACTACCACTGTCACTGATGGGCTCAGCCTTGGCCAGCGGTGGGTCTGTCTTGGAGCTGGCTGGCATTGGCTCTGTCGGACATAGGGGAAGCTTCTAGCAGCTTCTCACAGAAGCCACCTCTGTTGCCCCCCCGGCTACCAAAACCTTGCCATGCAAACCCAAGTCACTTGCCCTCTCAGCCTGCTGTGTCTCCTGCAGCCCATGGCCTTCAGGTTCTCTTGTTGCCATGACCCATGCTTGCCATGTGCACCCATTCCCATGGGCCCTCATCCTCAGTGGCCCTCATGGTGCTCCCTGCCATCCACTCTGTCCCCTCCAAACCCCTTGCTTTTTCTAGTGTTTTCGATTGTTGCTGCTGCTCTTCCTCCTCCCTGGTGCTGCTCCCCATCTTTACCCCTTCCCCTCACCAGCCCCATGCTCAGGGCAGCATTTCACTCTATGCATCATCTCAGATTACTCCAAGGGCTTTGGTGGCCGTTATGGTGTGGAGAAGGATAAGGTGGACAAAGCGGCAGTGGGATTTGACTACAAGAGCCAGGCAGAGAAGCACAACTCTCAGAAAGGTGAGCTGGCGGGGGGCAATGCAGCAGGCAGTGTCGGGACTGGAGCTTGGGACTATACCCACTGGGGCTGTGGGGCACTGTGCTTGGTTTTTTGCAACCTGCTGCATGAATGGTGGAAAAGCTATGGGGAGCTGTTGGGTGCCCACTGCTTGCAGCAAGGGAATGGGTCAGGTGAGGAAAGCCATTGCACGATGCATGACTGCTGGAGAAAGTTCAGGCTAAATGAAGAGGAGCAGCAGATTTCTATGGGCATAGGGATCTCCTAGGCGCATGGCACCAAAGGAAGGGTACAGGGGAAGCCCAGGCAGGTGCTAATAGCAGGTGGACTGTCCCAGGGAGGAGGGAGGGCTATTGCTGCTGCCACCAGTGGGGAAATCTGGCCTTGCTCCATGTCTTTCTCCAAGTCCTGGGAAGGGAAATCTGTTGCCCCTGTGAGGACAACCTGAGCTCACAGCGCTGCCACTTTTCTCTTTCCCTCCCTTGTCTGTTCTCTTCCATGCCATGATCTGGATCCCTGTGGCTGAAGACTATTCTGTGGGCTTTGGTGGGAAGTTTGGAGTGCAGAGGGATCGTCAAGACAAGAGTGCCCTTGGCTGGGACCATCAGGAGGAAATGCAACCCCATGCATCCCAAACAGGTACAGCAATGCTGCCAGACATGGCAGCACAATTTCCATAGAGCACACATGGACCTAGAGCTAGTGGTTCATACTTGACAGAGATCCAGCTGCTGAAAACTGAATGTGTATAGCATGTTGTGGAGCAGATGGGACATTGCGAACCCCCAAAGCGCAAGGGTAAACTCTGCCAGAGTAGGTGCATGCTTGGATCAGTGGGGTACATTGACTGCAAGTCCCTGAATCAGGCTTCCCAGATTATACTGTGCTTTCTCTGTGAGGTACATTCCTGATCATAAGCTCATTCAAAAGGTGAGCACATGGGGATGAGGCAAAGCAGATTCCAGGAATGGCTTGACGACTGTATGTTTTACTTCAGTGAACAAGGCCACATTGCACTCAAATGGCATGACTGGCTTCTCACCCCAGTGCCTTGGAAGCAGATTTGCCAGCATAAAGCACTGAACACCTGTGCACTTTGCTGAAAGGAATGAAGGATTAGCCTTAAAAGCTACTGTCCAGAGCATTCTGCATATATTTTTCTCTATTTAGTTCCATATGTGATAAGAGGCAGACAAAGCTAACTCATTTCACTGGTCATAGCATACTGAAGTTGGAGGTGCACGCAGAATATAAAACGTCATAAAATAGCTTCATTTTTTTTCCGTACAGACTATGCCAAGGGGTTTGGAGGCCGTTACGGAGTCCAGAAGGACAGAGTAGATAAGGTGAGACTGCATGCTGCAGCCTGCAATTGCTTCTTGCTAATCACTGCTCTGCACTGCTGCAAGAGAAGAGACTTCCCAGATGGAGATGAGGTCCCACTGCTCAGTGCATAACTATTGCAAGGGTGAGGGAACTGGCCCAGTGTAAATACCAGAGGGTGCAGAGGAATGCAGCCTGGGGTGACCATAATGCAACGAAGAAAAAGTTTTTTCCGTTCTCAGCTGCTTTTGAATCATTCCACTCTTGGACTGAACAGTCATACACCTGCTTTCTTTTAGGGCAGAATTTAATAGCAGAGCCAGTGAAGAGCTTTCTAAGGACGTCACACTGTGCCCTCCTGGATATCTAGTACCATTTGAGATACTGGGAGTGTTCTGTCTGGCTGCTTGCCGTCACTCCTACAGGCCCTGTGTGTACCAGTACCATCAGGACGAGCAGTGATAGCTCCTTGGAGATGAAATTTTGTGAGAGTGCAGCCTTGTGAGAAGTCTGAGAGGCCACAGGCTATTGCACCATGCAGGAACTGTCTCTTAGACAGGAGAGGTGCTGGATCAGACTGAAGGCCCATCTGGTGTGAGGTCCCCGGCACTGATGGTAGGTGATAATAGTGCAGAAAGCAGTATGCATACAGAGTGGTTGTTGCCTTGGACTGCCTCCAGCAGGAAGGTGGTATCGCTGTGGCTGCCGTTCCTCTAGCTGTTCTTACTAAAGGGATAAGGTTTGTTAGCTGTCACACCCACACACAAACAAGGCTTCCCAGAAGCTGGCTTAAATCTTTGGTCCCTCAAGTAGCCAACTTGAAGACCTCCCTGGTCTCTCCAGTATCTGATGCAGATCTATGGCCTCCCTGGTAGCTGGCTCCTTGTCCTTTTATACTACTCACCAGCTGGTAGGGCTTTGTGTATGAGTGACTGGCCCCATATCATTCCCCCTTAACTACTGGTGAAATCGGGCCATTCCTCATGGCACTGTCTGTAACCTTGTTTGCTAACCTTCTGCAGGTTTTTCTGTCTTGTCCAGGAGTTTCTTATGGTCTGTTCACTTAGCTAAATCTCAGGCCAGAGCCTAATCATCTGCCTGCAAACCTTAACAAAACCCAGCAGGGATGGGATTGGCAGGGATCAACCTTGCATGAGAAGAGGTCATCCACTTCGCTGGTTCAAGTTTTCTGTGTGGGCTGAAACCAGGCAAAGGCTCATACACAGTCAAAATGCAGAGTGTCTCAGACACTTGAATCAACATTGTGCTTTGGCAGGCTACCCTGCAAGCTTGATCAGGAAAGGGGGTCTTGCCAGTGCATGATGGTCTGCGTGGATGGGGAAAACCTAAAAGATGAGAATCCTGGATGGTGGTGGGGCTTTGCGGCATTTGGAGGAGGAAGCGAGGGTGCCTTCCCTGAACCACACTTTTTCTGTTGTTGGGCACAGTGCTAGGGGCACAGTGTTGTGCCTGGTACAGTACCAACATCGCCATACTCTGAAGCTGGAGGAAGCAGATAAGGACCTTTCTGCAGGGCCCTGAGCCAAGGAAGGACGTAAACACATACCTGTAACCACCAAGCATGTTCCTTTCTATGCTGCACGTGTAGGCTGGGCCAGTAGCAGAGTGGGAATGGCATTCTGCCCATGGAAGAGATTAGTGTGGTCTATGAATTTAACAACAGCAAATGGAGGTGCATGGTCAAAAGGCAAGGTATCATGTATGTGGCAGAAAAAGCATGCAAAATCAGATGAGCAGCTGTACAAAAGTCAGGGCTGTGGGTCATTGGAGGAGCCGTGTGCAGAGAGGGGATAAGCAGTTCTTATTAGCTCAAAGTGGAACATGAATTGGTGCATTTTGAGAATATTGGAGCATAATCAAAGATGGTAAAAATAAGGATATTTGGGCAAGTACCTAAGTTCTTGATTGCCTGGTTTTTAGACACTGGAGTAGTGCTGAGAGTAGAGCGCAATATACCACCAGGCAATTTTAACTCCCCTTTGATAAAGTTTTGAATACGAAGTGTAGGATTCAGCTCTCACACTAAGACTCCTAAATTTAAATGCTGTCGTATAAACAACATGTCCAAGTCTCTGCTGTGGTCTGTGTAGACCTGGTTCTGAGCCTGTAGTGCTCTTTGCCGGCTCAGCTGTGTTTTCTTTAAGGAGAGCAGAGCTGCTCTCTGGGCTCCGCTGACTGTAGTAGGAGCTCGGGCACGCAGCCCATTGGTGACACCTGCAGGTAGAACCCTAAAAGTAGCTGTATTAGTCTGAAACCTGGATCCTACCTGCAGTTTCCTCTTGATATGAAATAGTTTTCTCATGAAAGTAGATGAACCCACTCTATCTCACTTTCTTTCTGCTGCAAACATCCCATCGATACTATTACCAGTTCAGCCATCTCTTCACACTTCATAAAGCTAGTGGTATCTCACATGTTCACACATGTTTTCACTTTGATGCTTTCTAGTCTAGGCTACTGTATACACATACTGCAGGCAACAACCTGCTGAAGGGACACACGTTGTTAGTGGTTAGGCAGCTGCAGCTGTGCATCCAATAGCGAAGTGCTTCCATGCCTCATACCACTGGGAGTGCAGGGGACGGATGTATCGGGCCCCTGCACCTCAGGAAGTGATAGACTGCCGGGCATCCACTCAGCTATTTGCTGTGTTACCAGTGAGCGCTTCTGCCTTGAATGCCCAGCCTTGCTGTCCCATGCAGAAGTTGCCTTGCCACTGTGCAGCCTCCTCCGCTTGGCTCCATGTAGCCTTTTCAGCCCTCAGAGCACCACTCCTCTAACAGCAGCAGCCCTTGCCTTTGGCTGGAGGGCAGCAGGCACTCCCACAGCGCAGGGAGGCATCAGGAGAACAGGGCTGCAGCCAGCAGCCTCCACAGGGCTGTGGCAGTTGTACAGATGAGGACAGACACAACTGGGAACAAAGCCTGCAGTCACCAGTAGCCAAACCCGGCAGGGGATCTCAGCACTGGCCTTGCCTAACAAGCTGGACACTTCATTCACTTTCTCTTGCAGAGTGCTGCTGGCTTTGATGAGATGGCAGCTCCCACCTCCTCGTATGAAAAAACAAGACCACTGGAGGCAGGTGAGACAACTGAGTACCAGCCCTGGGCTTGGTGGGAAGCTGTAGGACACATGGTCCCTCTGTGGCAGCACGCTGGCAGGCATGTGCTGTGGTGGGATGTGGATTTAACCTGTGTTGAGGGGCAGGAGAAGGTGGCTGAACTGCAGGTTCCTCTTGGAGAGGCAGAGGTCTGGGTTTCTCCTGGATGCTTGGGGTGGTAGAAGGGAGCCATTGGGCAGGCTTGATCAGCTCTCTTCTCCACAGGAGCTTCCAGTGGCACCAGCAGCCTGCGGTCACGATTTGAAAACATGGCTAAGTCAGCAGAGGAGGAGAGCAGAAGGCAGGCAGAGGAGGACCGGGTGAGGCGACAGGCTTGGGAGTGCCAGGCGGCTCGGCGGAAGGTGAGCCATGGCCATCTTGCCATGTCCTCCAAGGCTTGCAAAGCAGACTTTTCCTCAGGGCCATGCAGCTCCGTGTCCTTCTACCTGATCTCTTTACAGTAACATCTTGCCTAAACTGCTTCCCTGCAACTACCAGGGATTGCCATTGAACTTCACAGCTATGACTGGATTTTCCCTTTCAGCACACTGATCAGGACGTGCCTGCACCCAGCCATGGCCCCCTGTGGTTTGGCCTAGGCTCCTTCTTGCCTCTAGAGCCTGGCAAACACAGTGCAATCACAGCTCCCCAGTATCGCCATCCCAGCAGTCTGCATTCAGGGTTTTCCAAACGGGAGATTGCACCCAAACCCTCATGTTTACAAGACATCCTTCTACATTGTGCTGTTTCTGCATTCAATGTGCAGATAACGTTTCACCAGTAAAGCACTCCCTGAAACGTTCCCTCCTAGAGGCTACTTTCTGCAGAGCCTGTAGTCATTACAGGCCTGGTAGTGTCCAGTCCCTAGGGTAGGTTTATGGGAGCTGGAACAGGTTTCAGCTGGAGGAAAACAGAGTTGCTCTGTGAGCTGGCACAGATTTCAACTGAAAGAAAATTTTCTGAGTTGCTCTGTTGGGAATGGGAATGGACATTGCTCTGGATCACATTCAAAGGGATTGAGGGGATCTGATGACTTTTTTCCAGCAATGATGGGACCAGTGATGCGCTGCACAGCACCTTACACCATGAGATGGGCTCTTGGAGTGGGTCAATTCAGTGGCAGTACAGTGAGCTGTAGCTAAGTATGTGAGAGAGGTTCAAATACATGAGCCACGAGGGTCTTCACAGCAGTCCCAGGTACCAGTTCAGCACAGACCTAATGGCTAAGCTGTTTCCCCATTGTGCAGAGAATGATGCTCCGTTTGTGTCATGGTAGCACTAAAGGCACCCTGCAGTGGAGGGGGCTCCCTTGTGTTGGGTGCTGTGCAGTCATGGGAATGCTCCCTGCAGTGGATGCTTTGCAAGTGACTTTCCTGTCACTTTCTCACTTCATGGCAGGAAGCAAAAAGGGAGGATGAGGAAACGCCACCCACTTTGCCACCGAGGCCGGCAGATCTGGGTGAAGAGCTGGGCAAGATCCCCAGCCAGGATCAGCCCACCTACAGTGAAAGTTTGGATGTTGGTGGAGACTATGAGGAGCTGCCAGAGCCCTCTGATTACTGTGACAGTACCAGTGGAGGTGCTGACTATGAGGAGCTGCCAGCACCCTTGGGAAAGCTGGATACAAACTGTGACCATGGAGGAGATGGAGGTGAGGACTATGAGGAGATCCTTCCTGAGGAGCCCAGCCAGAGCCAGCCCCACCTGGGTGAGTCCTGTTGGAAAAGCCCATGTCTTGGGGAGCTCGTATCTGTCCACTCACCTCACTGGATGTATGGGGACCGACTCCAGAGGGAATTTGTATCCTAAAGGCTACTGTGTTCACAGTAGCAGCCCATGATGACAGAGACTTGGTTGTCTCCCACTCCCTTGCCTGGCTCTAAGGTGCGAGATCAGCTGCATGGGATGCTGGGCCAGGCAGCAAGTATTCTGCTGGAGCAGGACTGAGGCAGGAGGACCAGAGGGCTGCCCTGGGCTCTGAGGAAGCTGGACATGGACTGATGTTCTTGGTGCACTGCTTCTGGGCAAGCAACTGCCAGTGCTGCACTGTGGCCTGGGGGTGCCCTCTTAATTCAGCCTGTTGCTCAAACAGCTGGTGCTCACAAGACCTGATCTGGTGGTGTCTCCTGGGTGTGAGGAGTGCCGGGTAGTCTTCCTCCAAGCACATAAGCAAACTGCATGAGCTGCTGTTGATGTTACTGTCACAGCTTCACTGGTACTGGAGATGGTAAGTGGAGAGGCTGGAGTTATGTTGGGAGAGGAGTATGAAGAATCAGGACCCCACCTCTCTCTTTGCAGAACGGGAGAGAAGTCATGCCTTGCTTTGAGCCATGGTACACCTCTCCCTGTTGATAGGGTTTGGATGTGATTCACCCCAAAGCTGACAGCTGGGTGGAGGGTGGCACTGACCAGATCTATATGACTGCTTTCAGCCTCTTTCTCATCTGCTTGTCCTGTCTTCTGCAGGGGGACCAGGCAATGTTTATGAGGTGGAGAGCCCTGGGACCTGTGCAGTGGCTCTCTATGATTACCAAGGAGGTGGGTCTGCCATCCAGGCTGCAGGGAGAGGCACTGGGAGCTGTCTGGGGCGGTGTGACAGGGAGGTGGTGGCTTATACCATCAGCAGTGGTGAAAAGGTTTCAACTTGGCGGTTTAAATTTCTTCCTCTTGGAAAGCAGAATGAGACCTGACTTGGGAACAGAGAAGCTTCATATTTCATCTGTGAAGTCTTGCTCTTTCTCTGCTTTATCTGTGTTGTTTGATGGGGGTTGGATGAGATGAACTCTGAGGGGAGGGTTATCAGAATGCTTGTTCTATATTCTCCTCCTGGGGGGGGTGGGAGGAGGGATGTAAAACCAGCTCTCTCTGGGGTTACCTTTGCATTGTGACTATCTTTTCTGAACAATTTTTGCAGATGGAGATGATGAGATTTCTTTTGATCCTGACGACACAATCACGCACATTGAGATGGTCGATGAAGGCTGGTGGCGGGGGCAGTGCCGGGGCAAAGTAGGCCTCTTCCCAGCAAATTATGTGAAGCTTCTGCAGTGAAACCAGCATTATCCAAGCTGCTTCCTTCCAAACTTTTGCCTCTCTGCTTCAGCCTTTTACGTGTTACTAGCTTAATTTGGCTCAGCGTGGTGTGTCTACATGCAAGAAATACCAAGGAGCAAACTGGCAGTGTTTGAGGGAATGTTTTATCCTGTGCCCAAGAGGACTTTGGTTCCCGTTGACTTCCAGATGGGAAAGGTGGGGCGGTTTAACAGCATGTGAGTGCAATATAAGACATCTTTTCTACCTAGGCTGTCCCCCATGTCCCACACAGCAGAAGTGTGTCCATTCCTGTTCCCAACAGGGCAATTCGCAGAAAAGAAACACCAACTCTAATCAGTCAAGGCAGAAGGGACATGAGCTATGGGATCTTTTTAAGTTGCTGTAGCCCTGGATCTCACCCTACCCAGGGGGCAAGGAAAAGAGCACTGTGATGGCCAAACTTGCCTTTGTTCCCAAGAAGGGTTTCCACTTGATACCGAAAAGCCGGTCAAAGAAACTCTCTAAGACTCGTTTTGGAGTTTTAGAAAGCAGGCATTCTTCATTGCAGCACTGGATGCATGGGGGATAATTCCACCTAGCGTGCATACCACAGCTTTAGCACAAACAGGTTATATAGAATAACTAATTGCATGTTAATCAGATTAGTATACATATACATAAAAATGATTGCAACTGATTATGTTAGTACTGCCTACATCCGATCATGCGCAATGAAGGATCCATTTGAGTCGAAGGGCTGCTTTTGCGACCACCGACCCATTGAAGTTCTTGCTGGCTGTCCTTGAAGTCTTTATTCTTGTCCTTGGTCTTTGATCTTGAAGCTTAACACAGTTTCAATCACATGTGGTCAGTCTCAACATTGTTCTCATCTAGCGTACAGGAACATCTCGTCATAAGAGCAAAGAACTGCAAAACTTATGAATAATTACTAGTTAATCACTTGACTAGACTTTGTAATTATCTCCCCGGTTACCCTTTGTCTATTGTTTCAACCATAATGTTAATATATGATCATTTATCAAATCTCACTTGCACAGTCACCTAGCAGCAAACCAGTTTTCATAGAAGGTACAAAATATTAAAACCATAGAAGTTTGAACAAACCATACGAAATGTATGGACATATGCTATCAGAACAAGGCTGGGAAGTGCCCTCTCTCCTTACTCTGTATTCAGAGAAGGTGGCTGAGGCAGGATCCCGGCCAACAGCAACACAACCAGTGAGTTGTAAGCCAGAGGGCCCACCGATCCCACCTGGGAGTCAAACTACTCACAAGCATTTTCTCCCTGTGGGAACAAGAGTAAGACAAAAAAGGTCACAGGTGGCCCCAAAGGCCACTCACCCTCTCATTGCTGTGCTGGCCCTTGAGCCATGGCTGAGGAGTGGGACAGACAGAAGTGCAGCCCTATAACTGCAGCAGACCAAAAACCCAGAGCACAGCACTGGGCAGAGATCCCTGCCAGGACTAAAGCAGACAGGGAGGGGAGACGTGGTGGTTCCAGGAGCCCACCCTCACCATGGACTCAAGTCAGTCCTTGCGAGTGCCCAGCAGCTGGGCATAAGCCTGCAGGGTTCTCCTCCACCCATTTGTTGGCCAAGCTGAACCTCGAGGGCCTGAGGGAAAACAGATCTGTCTCACAATGGGCATCTTTCTTTCCCTGACTTCCCTCTCCATTTTCACCCCATTGATGACATCTTCCCTAAGAGCCACAATAAAGATCCAGGTGTCCCCATGTGTGCCTCGGTGCAGGACGGCGCACCCTGCATGCTGGTGTCTGCAGCAGGTGTCTCCCCCTGTGGCCACTTCTGTCCTACTGACAGTAGTGATGGGGGGAGGTTTGTTCAGCAACCACCACTTTGCTCAGGCTCCCACCACTGGCAAAGATCTCTCCCTGCCTACCAACATCCCAAATGTCTACCCGTCCTGTGCAGAGTCTCACTAAGGAGTGTAGGATCTCAGCAGCTGATGGCTCTAGGCCCTCTCTTTAGATCTGATTTAGTTGCTCACCCACCACAGATGATCCCCCAAACCCACTGGGTGTTGACACTGCTGACTCCACAGCCCAGATCTCCCCACAATCACTTCATCCTTCATCAAGATGTTTCCTCTGCAGGGATGTCCTTGCTCGAGGCTTAACCCAAGCTGTTCTCTCAGTTCAGAGAAGCCTCTTGGGTTTCCCTCCTCCAGTGCCTATTTCTTTGCTTGCCTTGAAAGCAGCTGTGGCCTGACGCTCCCTTCCCCCAGCTAAACTCTTTACCTCAGCCAGCTGCACAGTCATACTACCAAGGATTTGCCAAAGCTCTGCCATGGGCTCTCTTGCAGGCCTATGCCTTGGTATGGGCAGTCACATTCACATTCACATCCCCATCACTCACCATGAGCAGGATGAACTTTCAAACTGTCACTTTGCCAGCAGCTTCAGCTGTGGAGGAGGCCTAGCTGATATGTCAGGCTCTTAGGGATATTCTAACCTTGTTGAAATGAAGTTGCTGTTGGTAAGGGTATGTGGAAGGGGAGTATTTGCTCCTTTAAGGGTATCTCGTTAAGGACCCTTCTCAATGCAAAACAAAGGGGGTAATAAGAAAAGGAAGAAGCCATAGACAAGAACATAAAAGAACACCAACCTGACCACCAAACCCAGTCAGTCACTGTATTGGGTCTGGCTGAGATGGAGTTAATTCTCCCCATAGCAGCCCTCGTAGCACTGTGCTCTGCATCAGTAGCTATAAAGGTGTTGATAACACACCAGTGTTTTGGCTACTGCTGAGCAGTGCTGGCAAAGCATCAAGGCTGTCTCTCCAACATTTTTGCGCCCCCCTCAATGGCAGGCTGGGGCAGGGCAAGATCTTGGGAGCGGACATAACCAGGATAGCTGACCTAAACTAACCAAACAGATATTCCATACCATATGACGTCAGCTCAGATATAAAAGCTAAGTAAAGGGAGACGGAAGGGGGGCATTTTTGTCTTCCAGAGCAACCACTATGCGTACTGAAGCCCTGCTTCCCGGGAAGTGGCTAGACATCGCCTGCTGATGGGAAGTAGAGAATAACATAATTTGTTTTTCTTTGCTTTCGTGCGCGACCTTTGCTTTCACTTTATTAAACTGTCCTTATCTTGACCCACGAGCCTTTCGTTATATTTTCTCCCCACTGTCCAGCTGAGGAACGGGAGTGATAGAGTGGCTTTGGTGAGCACCTGGCACCCAGCCAGGGTCAACCCACCACAGTCACACTAACTGATGAAGGCATGTGAGAGGGTGAGAACGTTTATTCCACCAAGCTTATCTGATCAGGGACCTTGTCAGCTGGGAAACTAAGGGAAAAAGCAGGAAGACAGAACCAAAGTATACAGAGACACAGACCTGACAGAATATGGAGACAACGACAAGAAACAAACCTCGCCTGTTACACTAATTGATGAGCTATCAAGAAACTACAGGCGCCACTTTCAGGAGCAGACTTTGCGAACCAGGAGAGAAGGTGGACACCGGACTGGCAAGGGGGTGGAAATGCTTCCAGTCAGCCATGCTGGTCCACCTGGCATGTTGGGAGCTGTATTCTTTCTGCACGGGGCTGCCAGAGAGCCATGTGGGCCCACCGGGCGTGCTGGGAGGTGTAGCACTGCTGCCAAGGTTGCTACCAAGGTTTGGTGTTGCAGCTCTGCCTTTGGGCACGTGCAGTTCCCAGGAGCGGGCTCCGGCCCCTACCTCATGCTGTCAGCTCGGGTGCATGTGCGGTGCCCAGGAGCAACGTGAGACACGACTTATCCATTCTTCCCCTGTGGATGTCGTTGATGGCATCTGGCTTTGGTTGCCTCAGTTGTCTCTGATTTGCCTTGTTATAATGTAAGTGTTTGTGAAAAGCGAAAAGTCTGTCATTTGCTTTTTAGAGTAGCTGTTGTGGCTGAAGTTGGAGAGACCAGAAAAAGGTAAGCCAGCTGAAGAATGAAATGAAGTTGATTGAATTGGAACCTGTCTCTATCCACAGATGAGAAACGCCATCTCTCTGGGTGAGGAAGGATTCCTATTAGTAGTCTTCAGCAGACTAGATCACCAAAATATAAGCCGAGGCTATATGTGTAACCAAAACTATGATAAACCC